GCCGGTCATCTGTCTCTAAATGAGGTTACAAAGCTGTCTCTGATCTGAAACCAGACAAAGCAGTTTGACCTGATGTAATGATTCCAGAGGCGTTTAAGGACGTTGGAGACAACTTACTGTCTGGGTTAACTAAGGTAGTGGGCAGCGTCTGAGAATCAGAGATAGTCACGTAGGTCTGGTGTAAGTCACTGATTATCTGTATGTACAAGAAGGGAGACAATTCTTCCTTCCCCCTGTAATCAAAGAGGGATCAGCTTGACCAATATGACATCCAAAGTTCTAGACTCAGTAATCATGCGTCGACTAAGCGGTGCTCGGGAGAAACAAACACGAGAGAACCGAGCAGGCTTTATACCAGGAAGAGCGTGAATTAATGAAATTTTTACCCTTCGACAGAGTGCAACAATCGTCATAATTCTTGAGCTGAAAGCGAAATTCGATTCCGTCGACCGAGAGGTAATATGGCGATGTTTGGCTGTGAAAGCGATGCCGAGTAAATACATTTCACTGATCAAGCCACTCTACTCGAACTCATGCAGTCAGTCAGGTGAGAGCCTACAGAGAGTTGTCATCTGAGTTGGTGAAAACCAGTGGTGTCCTTCAGTGGGGATGATCACTGTCCTCATTTCTGTCTCATATTAGCTTGTTTATTCGATGTATCACATAGTGAAACAGTATTATTTACTGGATCAGCGTTCATAATGACAAACGATGGGTCTAAATTAGTTCTTAGGAAATCTCAGTAAAAAATAGTTCCTACAAAACTTATGTTTATTGGGTCAAACTCTCTCCGTTCCTTCCACCTACACTTATGCAACAGGTCGAGTATTTGGATTCACATTAAATCTGAAAACTTTTGTGTAATACCGAGAATTTATACAAAGCAGTGGCAGCAACGAACTATCTTTACTGATATAAGATGCATAAAGTCTGAAAAAATCTTGCTGTAAGTTCTTTCCAAGAATCAAATGAGTTTTGCTACAGTACTATACAAGATATATATATATATATAAATTCATCAAGTCAGTTAGTGTGGTTGCACATTCTTAATAACTCATATCCGTCTTTTTTATGTACTACTTAGTGTATAGCAAAAGCTCCATAAGCCTGTCAAAAATAAACATGGCACCATTTGCTGAAGTACCACCTTACAGATGTTGAAGTGTCACTTTACCAGGATGTGTCAATCAGTATAGAGAAGACAGAGGTGACGATGAAAAAGCAACCAACGCCAACAAGTATCAATCACTATAAGTGGGAGACATTTGAAGGAAATACTTAGTTCCACCTGTCTAGGCAGTATCGCCTGAATTACAGGCAGAGTCACGGATGGGGATGTCAACACCAGACAGGATGGGGAAGTCAAGACAAACCTTCAATAATCTAAAATCAGTGTTGAAGTTTACTGCAGTAGGCATAAAGAAAAAGAATCGGATTTTCAACTTTAATGTCAAGTTATTTCTTTCATGCAGTTCAGACACATGGCGTGCCACCAAAAGCATCTCGAACAGGCTTCAGAATTTATCAACAGATACTTTTGTTCCATAATGATTAGATTACATAGCCTCTCGGTCAAAAAGGACTAGTCATAAGGAACTCTGTCAACGTACCAAAGAAGGAAGCAGAGCTTAATCGGACACACACACACACATAGAAGACTATTTGGTGACATTATGAGCCATGTCTTCGAGTCAAACCAGAATGGGATACAACGAGTTAGACGTCTGAGGGTCAAATGGGGAGGAGAGATGAGAGCTTATGGGCAATCGTGTAGGCAGATGAGGAGAAATGCAGGGAACAGGATGAAACAGAGGTGTGTTTCTGAAGACCTATCTTCGACTGCCAATCAAAGTTATCTTCACGCCATTTCTACATGTACAAGTGAAATATATTCATAGCCGCAAAAGCCAGTGCAGTGAAAGAAATAAACGCTCTTCAAGAATTCCAAAAGAAAAATTCAAGCTTATTTTAAGTTTATCTCATATGAGAGATAATTTCAATTTTGGAAATGTATGAAAGTGTAAGCGTCTCTTTTTTTTATTTCCTTCACATTCCCCAGTGGAACATAGGGCTTCAAGCTAGTGGCTGGAAGTTTCTGTAGCAGTGCTTATTTTACAGGGTGGGGTTTCTAGCCTCATATCCAACCTTTCCTCTTCACTAGCGTTATTTCTGGCTTAGCGAGGTAAAGGATTGCGTCGGCCGGGGATAGAACCCCGGACTCTTTTTTGTATTTCTTGTCTTCTCCAACGGTTTAAAAACATCTCTTCAAGATAATAAAGAAAAGCAAAATCAATTATTTTCTTTGGCAGGCGTATAAAAACAAAACGAGGAGATAATGAACTTGAAGAGACAGAGAGTTAGTTAGTTAGAGAGGTGAAAAGAAAGTATTACAGTTTACTAAGAGAAAATTTTGAGGATTTTCCACTCCATTTCACTTTGTATACGAAAAATAAACTTCACACCCATGATTTATATATATATTTATGTATATACTAATCCTTATTAACAAAATACCTTGTCGAACTACGTTTCTTAACATTACAATTATGGATGTTATGATGTTCGTTCCTTTTCTACCTACGCCTAAGCAAAGAAAATTTATGAATTCCTTGTCTAGTCTATACAAAATTTGGGAATTTTCTTTCGCTTTAATGATTTATAAGACGCGCCATTATATTTGCTTTCATTAGTGGAAACCCAGTCAGAAACAGCAAACGGAATAGTAGACGATGGAGATGAAGGGGCGGGGGCGAGGGGCGATTTGACAGTAGAAGGATGAATCGAAGGTGTAGAATAATGTTGAAGATAATTTACAACATTTCAGATGAAGAGTACAATCAAACAAACATGAAAGAAGAATAAACAGAGGGAGAGAGAGAGATTTAAGGTGTAAAAGTTATCACAAGAGACAAAATGAGATATGCGAACAACTTTATTTCTCCACATTATTTCCATTATTAAAAATGGAGGTTAATTACTATTTGTGTGTATGTAGTGAACACTGTTCAGATGTGTTTATAGTGTATGTCAGCAAGAGTTAAGAGTTGTGAAAAGTTCACCATGTCTACCACAGACACACAAGTAGAATTAATGTGAAAGGCTGATACTGTCTAGTCGGAAATTTAGAGCCGAATAAATAAACTAGTCGAATATCGTAAATAAGATATTGATGTGCATTGAGAATACATTGTCTCTTGCATAGCTTTGAATATCGACAACTTAGGTTACCACTGTTTAGAGGCTTTTTACCTGATTTAACCGTGCTGATAGATGTAAATTGGATTTAAGGGAATAATAATTTCAACGGTTTATGTTTGTATACCTTATTAACCTTACATTGGTTGGTAACTAAGTAGTAACTAAGGTCATTTGCCCTGTCCTAAGTCGTCTTGGTTCAGACTGAATTCTATCAGTCAAGTTTCCAATGTGACTCACCATCAAGCTGTTCTCTGAAATGATTTTATTAGATGGTTGGAGGCAATCAACAGGAAGTTATATCTGACCTAGGTTTCGTACTTGGCGTATCTGCGATCTTGAAGGAAGTCATGTCTCTGCTCCTTTTGAGATTCAAACCCCGTGTCATTCATTACTGTAGTCACAGATGCCACCACTAAGCTGTTCGAACTAGCGACTGATCTCCTAAAGGACTATAATGGATACTGTGACTGGACACCAGGTATTAAGTGTCTAGTCTATCGTTTGGTCAAGTTTGCAATCTAATAAATATTTATTCAGTTACAAGTGTAACCACACTGATGCGATTTGGTGTACAGATGCTTTCTACAAAATCAATCATCCGTACTACAACTTTATCAGTTGTCAACTGCAGACAGACCGGATGTGCTTTTTTTTTATCGGAACTACCAATCATGGTCACATTTAGATAAATCAGTCTCAGGAACCATCAATTGTCAGCAATGTTATGGGCTGGTAACTTTCCGTCAGCTAAGATTGTAGATTTTAGTTTTAATTATCCGTAAACGGAATATTTGTGAGTGTTAAATTAAGGCTGTAAAAACACGCTAGGGCTCATAGTGACAACATATAAGTTATGATGTCTGATACTTTAAACTATAATAATAACCTTTATTTTATTGTAGCAAGAAGTCATTTTATCCTGGGGAATTTCCAGATAAATGGTTATGTTTATTTATGCCTTTAATTTGTGTGTTAGCAGCGATTTCTCATTTCACGAACGAAATTCCCTTTGCGTTAACGATGGAGTTCATTTTTGTTTCTTCTTGCGAATGGCTAACACAGTAAGGCTGGCTATGCAATGTGTCAGTGGTCATTACCTTGAATTCTGTAGTCAAGCTTCCACATTGTAATGACTTAACCGGTTTTATTGGCTGGAACGAATGTGGCTAGGGGTTCAGAAACTTAGGTAATAGTAATACTCAAATCACTTACCATCCTAGTTTAAGTTGGTCACACTCGAAGAAGTTACATTATCAGCGCAAAGTTACTTTTGTCAGATGCCTAGCAACGCGGCTCGACTATTATTCTGAATAAAAAGAATTGCTTTGACTATGAAACGTTGAACTTATAGAATTTATGCATCTCGACTTTTTCTCAAATGGTCTCCTGCTCGAATAGAAAAGCCAAAAATCCTTTCAAACGTGATAAAATGTTTCTAGACATTGGCTTGACATTCATTGAAGTGTCTCCTATCAGGAGCAGTTATGTTACCGGAGACTTAAAATTTCAGTCCAAAGTCGTCAATCAGTGGGGAATGCAGAGAATAGGCTCTCGTGGTTTAGTGGATAGTATTTTGGTATTTGAAACGATGGGTGCAAAGTTCGAGTCCCATATGGGAACATCATCACTCACTGAGATTGCAAGTACATCCAGCTGACGAGTCCCAAATAGGACAACGTGGATTTGTCTGCTGCTTATTGTGAACACAGGAAAATTTATTCACTACAATATGTTTCAATAATGAACACATGATAATACAATGAAATTAGTGCGAAATCAAAATCCATCTGACATTAACTCACCTCATTCAATTCAGATTGATTTGTAGTATGAACAAAGCATTTCTCAGTGAAATTATTAACACCATTTGTATTATTGCCTATTGCATCAGTTTTAGGTATATTTCTTAATGGAGATTTAAATGCATACGGCATAATTAACTCCTCATTGTCTACTGTCCGTTCTTCAGTGAAATGATTCGGTGGACATGGAAACTCAGTCGATATTAAAGCTGAACTACTCTTATCACTATCTGTACGACTAGATCGCATTCTGTCAAGTGTTGTAGCATTCAATGCACAAAAGTTGTAAATTGGTGGTGGTCCAAAATTCCCAACAGTATATCCACATTCTGGATTCCATTTATACAGACTTTCTCCATCACCAACACAGATAGCATTCAAAATTGGTGAATGATACAATTTTCCGTAATTACCAATTGTACCGTCTAAAGTCATATTTTCTTTCATAATTAATTCATCGTTTAGCTGTAATGGAAATGCATTTCTACTAGATTTTGACGCCTTACGATTAGATGAAGATAGATGTTGTTGCTGTTGTCTTTGACGTTGAGATGATCTTCTTCGAATTGAAATGAATGCAATAATAAGGCATATTGAAGTAAGGCACATAATTAATAGTAGTATAACAATTAGCATAGTACCTAAATGCCCATTGGCTAGTATATATCCAAGAAATCCTTTCTCACCAAATTTATCACCATATACTGAACTTAATGATTCATGAACTTGAAGAAATAAACGGGCACTGGAATCCATCGGTGGATTGCCATTATCGGATACACGTACATATAATTCATAAATTCCACTTTCTGTTAGCCCAATGCCCTTAAGTCCTGGACCAGCAATGAGTTCACCAGTTTTTGAGACCACCGCAAAATAAGGTGAATTCACTGAAGGATACGAGTTTAAGGGATGCATTTTACTGTCATACTGAAGTTTATCTCTGCTGACTGAGTAATCACCGTTTAGGCGTTGTACATGGATAAGATGAAATGTTAAATTTGCATTGTGACTGTCATCAGGATCTTTAGCTAGTAAAATGAGTATTTGTTGTCCACGATAAATCGGTGCAGTTAAATTCATGACACCTAAATCAGTTACCTTACCTAAACCTATTATATGTGGCCTTTTGAAGAGATCTGTTTGTTCTTGTGATTCAGATCTTGATGAGATCTGTAGAACATTACCCCACTGAGGACTGTTATCATTCTCATCCATCACATTGATGACTATTGTTGCTGTTGAACTCCGTTGAACTGGTGTCCCCAGATCATATAATAATATGGTTAAATCATAATGACTATTCTCCTCTCTGTCAAGTTTCTTAGTTGCGAATATTTTACCGGACTCACTGTTGACCATGAATAATTCATTAGAAACTTTATTATTTTTACTATTACTAATCGATAATAGTTTGTAGCGTACTGTTCCATTATTTCCAACATCTTGATCAATCGAAGTAAGTTGGCCAACTAAATCAGAGAAACCTGGACGATTTTCAACTATTTGAAATGTTTTAGTGCCAATCAACTCTGGACTGTTATCATTTTTATCAGTTAGATGAACAGTGACATTTGCAATGGCAGCTGGATTATCTTGAATAGGTTCTGATGAATAATTATCTGTGGCGTAGACAAGAAATCTGATCTGCGGCATTGTTTCCCTATCCAATACAGCTCTTGTTGTTATAATACCGGTATCAGGATCAATGTGGAAATATGATTGTGCTTCACGTGACATATGATATTGTATTTCTGGTGTAGCGTCTGCATCTGTAGCTTGAACTTTTAGAACAACAGTCTCTAAAGGTTCATCTTCTGGCATTGTGTGCTCAATAAATCGTTTACTTTTAGGAAATTCAGGTCTAAATTCATTTACATCAATAATACTGAGTGATATCTTCTGTTCAGTTGTTCTACTGGGTTTACCATTGTCTTTACACATGACGATAATTGTGACAATCCCATTGGTAACTGTTTCCCGGTCAAACGATTTATTTGTACTTAAACGATAAATTTCTCGTCCTTTTGCAGAGTTGGCATGTTCAAGAATGAAGTCATTATTGTTGTTGTTGTTCATTTTAAGCGCACATGTTACCACACTGTTATCACCGATATCTTCATCTCCAGAGATTACCAGACCGATATTTGTTCCTGCAGGTTGATTCTCATTTAATGACAGTTTAACTTCAGTAGTATTTGAATTTGGCTTACCTTGACTGTTGTTAACTTGTGATTTTTGTAAATTAGCCTCATGAATCCCATAGTTTGGCCTGATTTCAATCCATGGGTCATGATCATTTGTGTCTCTAACTGTAATACGAACCATTGCCTGACCTACAAGTGGTACAGAACCACTGTCGTAGGCTAGAACAGGTAAAAGGAATACAGCGCTCTCTTTAGCATTTAAAACTGCCTTCAAAATAATCTCTCCAGAATTCTTATCAATGGTAAAGTGTTCTTGTGATGCCTGACTTAATGGTCGTCCAAATTTATATGACAATTGACTATTCTGGCTAGAGTCTTTATCAGTTGCTGTCAGCTGGATGACTGTTGAGTTAATTGACAAATCCTCGGGTATTTCAATATCATAAACAGATTGATTAAAGGTTGGCTTGTTATCATTAACATCTGTGACATGTAGCTGAAATGGTTGATTACAGCATTTTGGCATTATCTGACCACCATCACAAGCGATTAGCTCACCAGTGTAGAGATTCTTGAGCTCAGCGTCTAATTCCCCTAAGATGATAAGATTTAAGCTATACGGTGGTCTGTATGATAATGAAAATAGGGAAGTGTCATCGAATTCACTGCCACGTAGAGAATACGATTGAACTGAATTCATACCTTCGTCTGGATCTTTAGCTAAAATCAGTGGGATTTCATAACCGGAACTAACAGATTCAGAGACATTTACAATATAGGTTAAATTTTCTAGTTCACTAGTGTTGACTGAAGGGGTTATTGGAAAGTAGGGTGTATGATCATTGATATCATGTATTGTGATAATTACATTAATCCAGTGAACACGTGAAATGCAGACTGTTAAATGAACTTGACACTCTTCTGTCGATGATGAAGAAGACGATGAGCTGCGGGAAGAGGAAGAAGAAGACAGTGAGGATGCTGACAATGGATCATTCGATGATGATGATGTGATCCGATCTAGTCCATCAGATATTATATCCGGTTGTGGGCAAATTGTTTCACGATCAATACGTGAAGCAACAAATAACTTTCCAGAGGTTTCTTCAATACGAAATAAATTTTTATTAGTATCATCGTATAACTCAAAGGTGGGCGTGTTTAACCCACCCTCATTCCTCTCTTGATCATTAGATGTTATAAAAAATTTTCTCTCTGAATCCAATTTTAAATTCCCGATATATGATCCAATTTCTGATTCTTCATTGATAAAATAGTGTAGTTCTTTCAGGTTCGATTGACTTAGTGTATCACAATTAATTTGAAATGTGAGTAATATACACAGATAAGTGTACAGTAGTATATAATGAGATATGTACATGAGAAATATGTGAACAGTGGGATAATTTAAGTGACTCATGCTTCCATAATGCAGTGAATACATTCACTGGCTTCACTTGATGTTGAGGAATATTGAGTTCTCTTCGTTGGTTCTTGAGTGTAGCCAGTTTTTACAGTAGCAAACTAGAAAATCGAATGTCATCATAAAGGTGAAAATACTGGTTACCAGTGTGTTTCATTTGCATCGTGGTTTAAAACTGTGTGTTTTCCAACTTTGAGAGAGATACATGCGTAGAGATATTAAAAAATGTGGCAAAGTGCTAAACTATATGATCTTATGTTATCTTAAACACACGTGTATTTATGTATTGGGGAAAAAGTGATTTATATTTCCTTAAAATATATTTAATTTGAAAACCTTGTCAACCAATCCAATTCTTGATGAATTGAACTTATATGATTTGTCACTATTTTATTACTACTTCTTTTTATTTGCTCAAATATTTAATAAATATCCCAAAAACACTGTTAGTTGTTAGTTTGAAAAATGTATAAAAAGATGGATAGGTGAAGAGGTGGGGAATTTTTCTTTAGGCTAGTAGGCTAGTTGGATAGGTAGACAGGTAGATAGATGGATAGACAGACACACATAATTATCATTCTTCAATCATCTTTCTCACCAATAGAAAGTGTTAGAAATAAAAGTGTGAAGGAGACTATAGTTTAGGCTTGTTAAATATCACTTTCATATTAAAAACACGTGATGAAATTCTGCAACTATTTGTTATATCAATTCCAGCTTTAAAAGATTGTTGCGTAAATATTGCACTTGTAGAAGACATTTCGGACATTCTAATCGCACACGTACTTGTCATATATATATATATACTTAGATAAAAGCTAATAGAGTATAAAACGTCGACCTGAAGTTTTCTAGTTCCTATCTTTAGTGGAGTCGTGGAAGTGTATCAGAAGAAGAGTCCCAAACCAGGACGAAACAGCTATTCAGTATCTATCTGCTTTTAAAAGCTTCTTTAACTGAAGTCAGAGCATAATCATCCTTAAGATCAATTAGATCCCTGCAAACCGACAATTGGAAATTTTTTCTATGGCTCACTAACGACTGAATACTTGACGGAAATGCCTGGAGTTTTAGTGATAAGTCTTGCCCAGTGGGATTCATCGGCTAGGAGGTGAAAATAATAGATGAGGAAGAGGAAAGCGAGGAGAAATGCTACCAAGTGAAATAATCCTGGAAATAAATGTCTAAAATCATTCATCGCAAAGTACATCATAGAGACAGGTCATAAAGTTGACATTATTCTCATCATTGTTCTCAGACGTGTATTTAAACAGTTTTGAGTTCTATACTTAAATTCATTGAAATCCCAGTCAAAAAAGGCTCAAAGAAGTTTTCTGTGCTTAAAAGTTATTTAGAAAAGAGATATTAACACTGATAACAAGTTTGAATACTATAAATGAAACATTCTACAGTGTTGAAAGAATACTGGAGTGAAGGGTGTAAATTATAAAACATTGTGGCTAAAATTGTTAGATTGATTAGTGGATTTCATCATGCTCTGACATCAGTCAGAGACCAGTTGGAAAACCTGCAGGGGGTAATGGACAGCTGTTTCGTCACACTAGTTTGGAACTCTTCAGCAGCACCCACTCATCACCAGGGTTTGAACCCAGGACTTTCTGGTTACAAGGCTGGCACACTCGTAGACCATTAAGCCACTGGGAAACGATCCAATGGCCAGCTCATGAATTATAACTTCTGCCAATTCATGACATAGCGCGACCACTTCGCAATGTCTGCTTCGATGAGTTATTGCCTCACCTTCAACCTGCTGACCCTACTGGTCACGGCTTCCCACTAGAACGCCAGGGAACTGTCTGAATAGGGTCAGTCACCAGTGAGCATCAGATCAGTTATCAAGTATTTGTTTTGTAGGGATTTTGTTTGATTGGTTGGAGAATTATCCATGGTAAGAACAGCGCCTGGACATGTTCATTTTGAATATAAAGTTCTGGTTTTAGCCAATCTTATTGCAATAGCTTCAGTTGTATATAAAAGATGTGAGTGATAAGGCCTATGGAATGTGGTATATAACCCTGAAGGCTATTTTGGCATCCATGTGATATCCTGTATCCACCATGTTTTATGCAGTTAATCTCCCTTTTACTCAACCAAGCTGGTAAATGTTGTCGATTCCGTAGACCAACCTGCCTAGTCGTATGCCCTGTATAGCTTGAGCCACAGGAACTGTTGAAACAATATATTCATGAGGAAGAGCTAAGACTATGTAAGACGTCTCTCTGTTTTGCGGTGAACATTGGACGGCTAATAGAATTTTAGAAGCATATGTGCAGAATAGAAATTCCTGTTTATCGCTCTGGTTATACGTTGGGATATAATCTCAGTAGGAGTATCTCTACTGAATTGTAGGAGAGAAAATAACAACTTTTCTGCACCACTACCCATTCACATTTGCGAACACTGTGTCCTGTGTTGGCTTTTACAAACTTCTCTGAATATCCGTGTTCGCTTAGAATATTTCGGATCATCTGGAGTTCTTCCTCTACACAATCTTCAAAGTGAATCGACCTCTCTCTAAATGCTAAACATCTGATATAATTACTTTTGTATTTCATAGGTACGAAGATGGGGAAGTGAGCATATTGAGCTTTGATATCTAGGATTGGTTATTTTACACAAAAATTTTCCCAAATTTGATTTATATCCAATCAAGTATTGGTTTTTGTAGGGATTTTGTTTGATTGCATCATCAGGATTTCATCATGAGCTGACATCAGTTAGAGAACCACTGGAAAACCTGCGGAGTACTGGAGGGCTGTTTCGTCCTAGTTTGAGACTCTTCAGCACATATGATGTCATCTCATGATGAAATCCTCTATGCAATCAAACAAAATCCCTACAAAACCAATACTTGAAAATTAATCTGATGCTCACTAGTGACTGGCCCTATTCAGGCAGTTAATCTGTAGTTCTAGTGAGTAGCCGTGGCCAGTAGGGTACAGCAGGTTGAAGATGAGGCAGTAACTGATCGAAGAAGACATTGCGGAATGGTCGCGCTATGTCGTGAATTGGAAGAAGTTAGAATTCAACGACTATTGGATCGGGTCCCAGTGGCTAAATGGTCTACGAGCTTGCCTTGTAACCAGCAAGTCCCGGGTTCGAATCCCGGTGGGCACGTACTGCTGAAGAGTCCCAAACTAGGACGAAACAGCTGTCCAATACTCCCTGCAGGTTTTCCAATGGTTCTCTAACTGACGTCAGCTCATTATATCCAATCAGTTTTGATTTTTTACATATACGACAAACATTTGTGTGATCATAATGTCCAAAATACGCGAAGACATTACATGTTTCAGATCGAATACGTCGTCTTGTCGTTTTTGTCGATAGTTGTAATTATTTCTCGATTGTTAGTTCCCAAGATAAACGATAAAATCGTACAGAATGTGAACGATGTATTTACCCTCTTGCAGTAATGAGCGGATACAGTTGCCTGATTGTTGATCTGTTTCTCATGTCAGCTGTTTAGTGTTAAATAATATTTCATAGTTGCTCCCTATGGCATACAGATGCTGAGAAATTTACATCTCCAGAAGACGATTAAAGACCTGGATATTATTTAGACATAAAGAAGATAAATCGTAGGTCATGCATGAGGCTTTGTAATTTAGTAGCAGTCCACTGCGATTGGGCAATATAATTCAATGTCTTAAATATAATAATAAGGAAAACTTTTAGGTCAAGTACGGAGGTCAAAACCACTCGTTCTGGGTTAGACAGTTTATCAGAAGTTATAAATTCAATTAGGTGTAGAACAATGTTATTGGAGTGGGCGGGGGAACTCAATTGTTTATGCACGTGCACTAATACGCAACCTTATAATGCGATGGGGGCAGAGTGAAAATTCTGAAATCATGAGGTCAAGAGAGATAGAGGGCAGGAAAGAGTTTAGTTATGAAATTGTTTTCCAAATGAAAATGGGGTCAATTTTCACTGCTAAAGAAAAAAATTATATAGCTAGACTCCCTGTTTTGTACGCTGAGTTTCCCTTGGTACAGTACTTACGAGCTGGACGCCAACTCAGCGAGACATTTGTCTGGTCACTGAATCGGTCTAGTTAGCCAAGCACGATTTTTGATACGAGTGGTCCAGCCTGTATCAGAGTCATCTTGCTGTATGAAATCTCCATTCGTTGGGTAAATGCTTAAAGCATGCAACAGAAGTGGCGAATTGATAGGCGACGAATAATGGACGTGAAGAACAGATACAATTAATTTTGAAATTGAACCATACCTGCTATGATCACTTAAAATATTTCAAGGGTAAGAAGTTTCAGCCGAATGATTCCTCTTGTTGACAGAAATGTAAGGCACCTTGAATCTAAACTAGGACTTGTCTGCAACAGTTAACATAGACTTCTTCTGATTAGCAAGCTTGAGTTTTCGACAGTGAATGACGGGTAACTCATACACACACACGCACAATTTGTTTCGAAGTGAATAAAGTACCAGGGTGATAACATAATTCTCACTGTTGATATGTACTTATATAAGCCTGCTTTAGTTTCAGGGGTGACGCATCGATGTTTCAATGGTAGGATTCCCGTGGCTGATAAACTTTGAAACGTCGTGTCGTATACTGGTCGATAGTATGTCCGGGAAAGAAGGAAGGTTCCGCATAAGGATAGTACTCCCACCCGATCAAAAAAGTACCATCACTACTGAAAATTCAAAGCCTAATGCCCTATGTTCCATTCGGGAAAGCAAAGCAATGAAAGGGAAAGTTTCAGTTGTGATTTTGGTGGTATTTATAAATTGAAATCATGAAAGTCTTATGGAACAATCCAAGTGGCAGTTCGTTACTCGCTCAGCTGAAAAATAAGAATTTTTACAAATTAACAAGATCGTTAAATACTACTGCTAACAAAAATTAATCCTGGACTGGTGCATATATTGTGGCGTTCTTTGTACTGGGTAACATAACTGCGAAACTTTCATTTGTCCTTCCAGACAAAGGAGACTTCAACGTGAAGTGAACCTATTTTAATTCTCCTGACAACCTCTGTCGTGACTTGAAAACATTTATTTCCCGATACGAATTTAAAACAAGCAATAAGGGTTAATAAAGCAGGATTTAATGAATTCATCAAATTTCGGTAGAACTCGTCAGCTGAATACTCTACATACACGGATATATATACTTTTGAAATTACATTGGGAGATATAGGACTGATAAGCAAACAAACTACATTGAATTAGTATATGCAGAAAGACAGGTGCGAATGTTTTCCAGGTCATGTTCAAATAGATAAGGGGCGAGAGAGTATGAGAGATCAAAATTAAGATAAATTGCATTACGCTTCAATTATATCACTTAGATAAACAATTAGTCATTAGAGAATATAACAAGAATTGCAAACAGAGTAATATCAATAGTAATAGTTATAATAACAATAATAATAATAAGAGGTAGAATTATAAGTAAAACGT